TAACTCTTGGATCAATTGCCTTCCAATTTTCCACTTGCCATTTCGGCCAAGAACGTAGCATCACCAAGCTTTACTGCTGCGATCAGCGTTTTTTTTCGGCGCGCTGGCGGGCATCTCGAAGAGCCCTCGGCGAGTAGCTNNTTGGCGTGGAGTGTCAGATGATGTTTGCATTTGCACTTCACCAGAACGGGGTGCTCGCCGGCCTGCAAGACCAGATGTTCAGAGACGCGGCGCGCAGGAGCCAGTACGGCAGCGCTCAGAGCTGGAGGACCTGGCATTGGACATCTGGCCCGCCGAGGCGGTCGCCGAACCTCCCCTCAGTTGATTTGATTCCATGCTTGGGGGGCGAGGTGGAGATGCATCCGGTGCAACCGCAGGTAACATTGGCGGAGTGGCGCAGAGAATGGTCGGCATCCTTGGCTTCACAAGAGCGTGTTCCCGGCTTTACAACCCATACTTTGGGAGAAAGTCTGTGCCCACACGTCAGCCGGGAGTGCCCAGAAGTTACTGCCAAAATCACAGGTACGCTGCTTGAGATGGACGTGCCATCCTTACGGAGGGCGTACAGAGGGCATTCGCGTCAAGACCCGCAGTATTTAAGGGGCCAGGTCTCTTCCACGATGACAGTACTCGTGTGCGTGAATAAGGCTCTGTGCAGCAGTACTTTGGGTCAAGGAGTTGATGTTCCGCGCGGATCAGCGCCGCATAGCGGCGCGCTCTGTGCAATGGCTGTTTCGCTGAATTGGCAGGAATTTGCTCAAGAGGCGGATGCCACTGGCAGCTTGCTTTTGGCAACGTCTGAGTGAAGTCAATACTACTCAGTTCAGTGCTTTTGAGTCGTGAGTGGGCTGTTTCATGCACTTGGAGTTTGGCACACATAAACCGGGAAAGCTTTTTCACTGACTTGTTGTCAGCACCAGCTAAAAGAAAGGAATCTTATAGCAGCTTTTATATAATCACCGAAAATTTAGTACTTTCCTTTCCCATTTTTCCTACCCGTAATCCTAACGCCTGAGCCCTATACATCCCTATAAACCTCCTAGTTTCCAATTCACTTCCATTTCTTTTCCATGTGACTTCACGCCCGTCAAGCTCAGAGCGCGCTCGAGCTGCACTCAGTTTAAATTTCCACTTGGTTCTGCATTACGGTGTGCCATACATAAACTCTACATATCTCCATATAAATACCTAAGCCCTACGGAACCTCAGATGAATACCTAAACCATATTTCCCAAACCCTAAGCCTTGACCATTGTACTACTATAACAAACAGAAAATTCAGGCTGCAACTGACTCTCTGCCAAGCCCGGGGTGGAGATGCTAAGGGCGCCATGGTGGTCCGGGCCCCAAGGTTTAATGTTTGGGGTCTAGGGATTAGGGTTTCAGGACGTCTGGTTGGGGTTTGAGAGATGGCCTTCTGCATCTTTGAAGCAATCCCTTGTATACTTGTACTGTATACCAGCCATAGCCTTGAACCTCAAACCTTATTCCTGTTTTAATACACGCTCTCCACGTGGCATCTACCTGGGCATTGCGCTAAACAGACTTGCGGGGTATAGGGTTATATGAGGGGGTGTATAAAGATAATGGAAAAATTGGAAATTAGGGTTTAGGGATGTACGATCTTCACTCAGAATCCGTTCTTGAGGAAGGGGATGGACGTAGGCTAGTTGAATTTCCAGCCGGTCAGCAACTGCAGGTGAGATAGTGATGTCATACCCATGTACTTCATGAACTTCAATTCGGGTATGTCTGTAGGTTCACTATTCGTGCTCAACGTCAGGCTTACATACTTCAACCGCTTTTACCTTTTGGGCATTTGGAGACTGCCAGTGTTGTTGAATGCGTATGGTGCTAGTTGCTGAAAAATGGGGAGGTCAATTGTAAGTAGCTATCCCAGGTAGAAAGTAGAGGCAGTACCAAAGCTTGCAACAAAATTGCAGGCTTCCAGTAATCCAATAATGTGCAGGTCATCGCTGGCCCTCCCGCAGCAGGCCCACAGCAGTGGCACATCTCACGCTGCTTACAGAAACCGTCTGGTTGTATTGGTTTGGGTTGAAGGCTTCTGGGGTTTAGGTTTCTGTTGTCAGGCCTCCTTCGTGCAAGAACCTTTGCGCCCCCGCAAAATTAGAAGTTTCAACAATTCTGGCCTCCAAAGCCCCAAAGTCCTAAACCGCACGCCGTAGATCCTAAGGTTAACCCTGAACCCTCAAGTAGTTTCCATTTTCTTTTCCACTATCCCTATATAACCCTTATAAAACCCCAATATATAGGGCTCTCTAAACAACGACAGGCAAGGGCACTCAGTGCGAGAAGATCAAGGAGCCGTCTCTTGCCTCGCGCTGTGTAGCTTCTCAGAACATGCACAACTTTTTGGGGGCTTCCCTATGCCCTGAACGGTTTGGGAGAACCCTGCAGCCAACCCTAGACCAACAATCCTAAGCGACAGCCCTTAATCCTGAAGCTTCAAAGTGCTTGTACTTGTGAGCACGGTGTTTTTTTGTGCTTCCTTGTCTAGTCGTGGTCTTACTGTGAATTTTCAGACAATCTGCATGCACGAGGCTGCAACTTTCATTACTCCCTGTTCCCCCAGAGATTCGCCATGAACTGCTGACGGCCAGGACAAGTACGGCTTCGTCCACATTTCCACAGGCATGCGTTTTCTGTCTTGTGCAAGTCATGATTTAAAGGCTTGGGACAAAGCCAGGGGTGGCTAAACAAAGCAGTTGTAATCATGGTTATCACCAGCAACATAGGGGCACAAGCAGCACCAACAACATGCTCAAACGGCCATCCAGACGAATATCCACAAGCATGTGCAAGCACAAGTAGCACAGAGGCAACGTGCAGGATTTGCTGTTTTAGCTGATGATTGTGTCGTTTTTTGTTCCTAGCTCGGACTGTGTCCTGTGGCTTTGCGGGAGCTGCTGTTGCCTTTCTTGCCCAGCTTAGGTCTATTACCGCCGTTGTTAGCACAAGGCAGGCTTCCCCAACGCCTCAAATCATTAAGCCCAGGATATGGGTCGTTCTCAAAATTAAGGTCCCATTTCGGTTCTAGATTATATTACGGCACCTCATATTCAGGAGTGCTAAATGGGACCCTAATTTTGGGAACTACCCATATATCTGGCAAGGAACCCCTCCCATTTGCATAGGCCGTAAGCCCCCAATCTGAATCCTATAAACATTTTTACGGAACCTGTAAGCCTAAACCCTAAATCCTAAACTATGAGCCCTCAACAAACCCTGAACATAGATTCTAAACTCCAAAACTCCAAACAGCAACAACAAACCCGAAACCTAGACTCTGAATCCCAAATAACAACAACAGACGCTAAATCTAACCCTAAACCCTTAACCCTAAACCCTAAACCCTAAACCCTGACATCCAATTATCATTGGGAAGATTAGGCGACATCCTCCGGGAGAACGTGAAGAAGGAGACAGAGCTTGGAATGAAGGCGCTTGGGAAGGGTTTGAGGTTTAAGGTTCAGGGTTTTAGCGTTTGGGGTTTAGGTTTAGGGTTTTGGGGGATTCTTGGTTCAGGCTTTAGGGTTCGGGGGATGCGGGGGTGGGGGGTGGGTTTGAGGCTTAGGGTCTAGGGTTCTAAGCCCCAAGTCTTCAACACTATACGCAAAGCCCTGAGTGGAGTGTTTAGGGCTTGAGGGGTTCAGGCTCTGTGCCCTGGTTGAGGTATCAAGTGGGTTATGCTTTATGGTTTGGTGTAGGGGCTTTGTCGTCAAAGGAGGGTTTTGGGTGCCCTTTTTTGGGGTTGATCGTGAAAGAGTCTTGTGATAAGGAGGCGTACGTATAAGCAGGTAGGTTGTATAATGTGGTCGTAACTTGAGTTTTGGCTTCTCACAATTCTTGAGTGGAACGTGGAGTCGTGGAGTTGTACAACCGGGAGTGATGTAGAGTACATGTAGTGGTGTAGAACAGTGGGGGCTTTTTAGAGTATTGTGGGAGGTGTACATGGGTTGTTCTGAAAAATATGGGCCCGTATTGGTTTTGAGTTATATTACGGCACCGAAGATGATTTAGGGGTACCGAAATGGGACCCTGATTTTGGAAACTCGCCACATGCATTTACAAGGGTTGACAGAGAGCTGAGATGCCTCTGAGGGATAGCTGTCCAGAGGGAGTTCTCCGAGCACGCGATACGGATCTCAGACCTGTGGGTTGCTCTTAAGGAACTACTACACAAATAAAGCCCTATCATTCACCATACTCTCATACAAGTGGTAGCTTAGTCTCAACACCCAGTTTAGGGTAACTCAAGGTCCTTGATGCCTTTTTCTTAAAGGATTCTTTGCGAGGGGTTTCCCTCAATCGCCATCCAGCCACTGGGCTTGAACGCGTCGGGTTTCGGCCGTACTCGTTTCCACTTGCTGAGGTCTTTGTTTGCTAGGACACCCCATAGGAAATTAGGGGCACCTTTTGGGAGTCCCTGTAATAAGGCCTATATATGGAGCCCAATGATATGGAGCCCCATTTGTGGAAACCCTCACATGTAGTATGTCTCCACCCTTGAGAGGACTTGTATTAAGATAGGACGAGAGCCACCGGGACGCAATTGGGTGTGCTGACAGACCCCACAGGGAAGGATCGGGAGTCTGAAAGGGTTGCCGAGGAGAACACCACTGCCACCATTGCGGAAGTCGTCTGTCGTAAATGCGATGAAAAGTTTTGCAACCACAACAGCTACAACAGCTATATGATAACAGCTGCTATTGTCGGTGTTATTGACCGTTCTTACTCTTTTGATTATGTTGTAACGGTTAGTCTGGCATCGCCATCATGCTATCATCATCATCGTCATCATCATCATCGTCATCAGTTCCCTCAGGAAGAATCTTGAGGCAGCAGATCGCAACGCAAGGACTCCCTTTGCGGCGGAGGAAGACGATCATCGTCATCATCAGTATTGTATTGTTATCATGGTCATAGTACTTATGGGAAGAGATCCCATGCAAAGCCCCCCTAACCCCAGAATCCTCAGCCCTTTGCCCTAAACCCTGAACCCCAAACCCCGCGTCAACCCTTGGCCTTAAACCCTAAACCCTGAGCCCTAAGCCCTACACCCCAATCCCTAAACTCTATCGTCCCCCTTAAGTAGATATAATCTGGCATATACGGGGAAATTAATGCAATATACCCAAAGCCAATGTTCTATCTACTTAAGGGGGACTCTAAACCACCGGAGCCACCTGTCTAGGCCAAGGGCTTCATGGACTCCGGTGCGTGCGGTGCTCACATGTGGGGGTTTCCCAAAATTAGGGGTACCTTCTTCGGGGTCCCTATGAGGACTAAAGCATTTTTGAAGCCTATGCTGGGGTCATCCTACCTAGGGAAACTACCATGTGTACTTGTGAAAGTTGGGGTCCCTGCCGGTGTCAATGAGTGTAGGGTTTTGGCAAGCCCAGAATATTGGCATCCTTGGCATGGGAAACTGCACTTCCCGAACAGGAATCTGTACTTTCGAGGCATTCCCAAGTTCTGCCGGGCCACAGCAGGTAAGTAGCAGCAATGGGGTGCTAAAGGTGCCCTCGTCACCACAAGTGATGAGAAGATATGTGCTTGTTCACGCGAGTGCTCAGCTTAGCTGTTTTCCGGGCTGCTGAAAAGCAGAGCCCTTCCCTAAATGCTAAACCCAAAGCCATTCCGCGAATACTTGGGGGTCCCCAACTTTGAACATCGCTGAGTATGGGCTGAATGCAAGGTTGGTTCCCAGCGAGCTGATCGTGGACCTTGTCAAGGCCCTCGTCAGCTACGGGCTCTCAGCGTTTGATAACGAGAATTTCACGTTTGCTTTCGTCTTCTACTTACCTGTGCTGGCTATGAGAATTACAAGTAATCGTTCTGAGCAGCCTCTATGGCCAGCTCAGACAACCCCGTCATTACTTACTTCCTACATGAAAGCGCAGGACCGTCTGCAGCAGTCGGACGTCAAGGACGGGCCAAAACTGAAGTGCTCATGATTACTACTGTTATTGTTATTGTTCCCTTCTTTCTTCCTATTAATGTGATTGTCATTACTCCTATTGTTGCTGTGCAATGTGTGGCCAAATGAAATAGAACAGGTGTATGTTATGCGAGATGACTGGCTGTATGTACAATCTTTTTTGGGACGGCATCTGTACGGCCCTTCACTAGGAATAATTGTTGGTGCTGCATGGGTTTAGATGAGAAAGCTGATTCTAGGAAAAAACCGTATTGGTTCATTTTCAAGGAAGCTACTGCTGCAGAAGCTGAGCTAGATCAGGAGTTTCGATTGCATTGATGCTGGATTCTGCAACCCCCTGACCCCGAATCCCAGTTATCAGCATAACTCTATATACAGCAATCTCTAATATAATCCCTAATACGACCCCAATATAACCACAATATAACCCCAATATAACCCTAATAGAACCCCAATAAAACGGGTGGGGTCCGAGGAGAAGGGCTGCTTGCTGGATGGCTTTCCCCGAGCCCCAGACCAGGCTGTCGCTCGCAGCTTTGCTTTAGGTTTTAAGTAGGTATTCTAGGGGCCAAAAAAAAATGTTTACATGGACAAAAGGTATTCTAGGGGTAAAGAAGAAGAAGATTATCATGTTTATATGGATACTGGAATACAAAATGAAAACTATTATTTATGGCTCTAGGTTTTCAGGGCTTTGGGGGTTTAGGACTCAGGGGTTGAAGGAGCTTCCCCTGATCCAGACCCCAGACCCCAAGTCGGAAATCCTTAGCCCTAAACCCTAAACCCTAATTAATCGCCCGAAGAAAGTCTAAACCATGAACCTACGCCAAAACCCTTGTCTGCGAGCTCCTCACAACCCCCAGCCATCCCTAGGGTCGCCTAGGGTCTCTTTTTGAGAACGCTCCACTCCAAAACCCAAAGCCCTGACCCTATCCCAAAAAATCCCCAAGCTCTACAGGTCCCTACATATCCTTCTGAATCCACAGGTATTTTTTTACATCTTAGATTCCAAAGCCTTAACCCTGTAACTTCGAAGCCCAAATTGTGTTTGGAGGCCCAGGCCATGGTCGATGCCGGCCTAGAGGTTCAGAAGTTCTTGGTCATCAAGGCCGCAAAATTCTGAGCTACTTTAACGCGGTTTTAGAGTTTAGGATTTAGGGTTTAGGTTGAGGATTTAACATGGGTTTAGGGTGTATGATTTTGGGTGTAGGGCTCGGGGTTGTGGACTCCCCTCCTATTCTCCCTGTACTACCCTCCCAAGCTTCCCCTCAATGATCCTCAAGTACCCCTGCTTACGCGGAAGCCTATTGGTGTAGTATAGAAGGCATAGTAGAGGAACCCATGATGAAAAGGAGTCAGCGATGGCAATCTCCAGCTTCTCACCGTACAGCCCTTTGTAGGAGATGTCATAGACCCGAACCCTGAACTCTGCGAAAAGAAGCCCAGAATACACCTTAAACCCTCAGCCCTAAACCTTAAACCCTAAACCTTAAGACCTAGACCCTAAACCCTCAGCCCTAAACCCCAAGCCATAAACCCAACCCGAGGCCATCGTCAGACCCTTACCCCTCAACACCCAGAAAATCCTGAGGGTTTAGGGTTTAGGATTTAGGGCCTAGGGTAGGCAACCTCAGACCCTTAAGGTGGGGTTGTCAGGATACAAGGGGATGTATAGGAATATGATGGAATATGTAGGGCTTTGGCATTTTGATGTAAGGTTTAGGGTTTAGGAGTTTAGAGTTTAGGTATCAAGGGGTCAGGGTGAGGGGTTTAGGATTTCGCGCTCTGAGCAGAGATTTCATAATGATAGTGTAGAAGGAGCCAGGGTATTCGGTATGCATGGCTTCTGTAGGGTTACGCAGGATGAGTAGGGGAAGGTTTCATGAGGATATGCAGTATCCCCCAAAAGAGTAGGAGAGTATTTTCTTTGCGATTTGCATATGTCGCTAAAGTGAACTGTTCTCATAGGTCTTGCAGCAACAAAAATGTCGGCTGCCCTGAATTTCCTGTGTTTTGTGGCGTTTATTGTAGGGCCAGCCAAGGATTGGAAAAAACAACAAACTAGCAATTTCCATCAAACTTCCTAGAGGATGACACGGGGGATTTTGCTCCCCACTATGAAATGGGTTGGGAGACTCAACAACACGTATGCCTACTGTTTGGGAACATCGTAGTTGGTGCCTCAAAAGGCTAGCCTACGTGTTCAGACCCCTGCAGTAGGTGCCAGACGACACCCTGGTGGAGCGAGGATGCGGTCGCCGCCGGGAGCTCCAGCTGTTTCTAACTGTCATCACCGCGCACCGTCCGCCTCGGCCACGCTGTCCACACGGGCTCCGAGCAAGCGGCAGACATGACAGGGAGTGAGGTTGGGGGCCTGGGAGAGGAGGAGGGGCAACAGGGTGTTCCGTAGGAACCTCTGGACATCCAGGCGAATATAGCATACATATAGATATAATATGCAATATCTACTTGTGATATTTGTTTCTCTTTTCTCTCTCTCTCTCTATATGTATATGTATACCTTCACAGGAAAGAATATCATATCATCTCTACATATGTACATATACACATACTTTTATGTGTATATGTATATATATATATCAAATATATGCACATGGTTGCCTGTCATTTCATATACATATGCAGAACATGCTCGCCATTCTGCTCTTGCAATGCAGGGTCATATAGAGCAGCCCTGATGAGTTTTGTGGTAATTACTTGGTGGCTTTCCAAGAATGAGGTTTTAGGGTTTAGGCTTTGGGGTACGGATTTGGGGTCCCCACAATAATGGTCATAGTATTTTGGGGCCTCCATGTTTATGGAAACCACCACTTTGAGCCCTGTGCGATCGATTGCGGCTGTGCCTGGATTCTCTTGTTCTTTGAGGTGTATTTGGGGTTGCAGACGCTTGATTCCCTAGTGTTTCAAAATCAACTCTGTCTTTTGCGGTTCGCCCTCCCTCTAACTTTGGGACAGCGGTGGCGCCTTCAACAACAAAACCTCGCAGAGAAAGTTGCGGTACATGCGGCATAATCGTTTTCCTGCCAACTGCGCTCGGCGGACTGTTGGCAACTTGAAGACTGCATCGCATGCAGATTTGAGCAAGCGGCAGTTGCTTCGATATCTGCAAGTGACAGGCACAGTTGGACTCGTAACAGGGTGTGAGGTTCTGTGCGCAAGAGCAACCAGCATCTTACCTGGTTACACCACGACAGGATGGCTGTTTCCAAGCGTTTGCCACTAGCATGTCGCCATGAAGTGGCCTGTGCAGCACTTGGTTCTGAAGGCCTGGACCCCGAGACCGGGGAGATCTACCACCTGAAGTTCAGGTTTGGGAACGAAGGGTCCATGTATACTAATGTAGACCCATGACCCCCTCCTGTTAAGGGCCTGAATATTAGGATCCATATTATAATCCCTATTATGGGGAGGGGGTGTACGAATCAGGGGTCTACATTAATGGAACATTGATTACACATCAGGAGTGGAAGTGAGAAGGCATTTGCAACTTCCGCCGTAAGAAATGAACAAGAGCAAGAGCAGCAGGCCGGTTTGCAGGCTTAGCTGCAGCCGTGTCCTTCTTCACCACGGGTACAGGGAAGCACACGTTCAAAAGGACTTCACTGGGAACCCCCTACAGGGAACCCCAAGAATAAAGTAGGACTACGATAGAATGTAAGGACCCTGGTAGGTATATTCCTACTATATTCCGACTATATTCTTGGGGTTCCCTGTTTGGGGTTCCTATTAGAACCGTTTGAATGTAGAAGCCTCCACTCCTGTGCTTTAGGGTTTAGCTGTAACCTCTGAGTCAGTCCCAATCTTCTGAAAAGAGACCTTCTACAGGTTAGGATTCTATCACGCCCAGAAGACTTTTGTTTCGACTGCAGTGTGTACCTCTTCGTCCTGGCTTGCAATAGGGGTTGAGGGTTCACACTCAACTTGGCAAAATCTGAGGCTGAAAGGTTCTGAACCCAAAGCCTGTGGAGGGTGGAGGTTTCAGCCGTTTCTGAAGGAAAGCTCGTCGATAGGTCAGAAGTTCGGAGGTGCATCTGATTCTTTCTTCGCTTGTGATCTCTCGCCTTCATTTTGCATCTTTGTTGTGAAGCTGGTTTTGAACGGGGCGAAGCTCACGTTCTGCACGCTGGGTGTGGGAGAGTGGGGGGCCTTTTGGCAAGCGCCTAGGTGTTTCATTTTCTTTTCTGATTGCTGCACTGGTGATAGTGGAAAGTGAGGCCAACTACTTGAAATGCTCTGAGTAGGAAGAGTTGCTAAGCTCTGCTTTCGACTCAGTGGGCTCTGCCAGGGGTTTGCCACGGCTCAAGAGGTCGGACTTCCCTTTCTTCTTGTTGTCAGCTGCCATGGCGTTCCTGCTCGCCTTGCTGGCCTTGCTGGCCACTGGCACGCTCAGCTGGGCTGAAGCCAAGCCTCCGAACATCCTCTTCATCCTGGCAGATGACCTTGGCTTCAATGACGTGTCCTTCCATGGCTCCCCGCAGATCCCGACTCCCAACATCGACGAGATCGCACGTACTGGCATCACTCTGAACAGCTACTATGCCCAGCCAGTTTGCAGCCCTACACGTGCGACCATCATGAGTGGACGGCATGTGTCGCACACCGGCATCTACATGCCACTTATGATGGGCACGGCGGCCAGGCTGAACATCAGCTACTCGACGCTGCCCCAGTTCCTGGGGCCTTGATGAACAAGCTTTCTCCCTTGAACGGCACCATCAACCTACTTCTATCAATGCAAATTGCTGCTAGTCTACCCCCGAAGATAGTGTAGGTGTTAGCGTTGATCGACCTCCAAGAGTATGGTCTATAAATAGTAGTTTCCTTTTTATTTTCCATTATCCAAATATAACCCCTATATATTACCCCAAGAGGAACCCTAAACCGTAAGCTACCTTAGGTTCTTGGAGAAGCTGGGCTACGACACCCACATGGTGGGGAAGCGGGGCTACCGAAAAGGTAAAGCTGAGGTGCTTTCGTATAGGGTTTGGGGTTTAGGGTTTAGGGTAGGTAGGCTTTCCTTCTGATTGTAGTCAGACTAGTTTATTTTGAGTTCCTGGAACCCGAAACCTTATCATCCCTGTGCCCTTATCCCGAAGTTGAAAGCCGTAAACCCATGCACCCTACGTGAGGCCAGGACCCTGATAAATCAGACCCTAAACCCCTGACCCTGAACCCTTTGTACTGACGCTGTATTCTCAAATGGTCTAGTTAAAGCAGGCAACAACAAAATCAGTAAACCCCAACTGAATTCAGGATCCCCTAAACCCTAAATCCCTAACCCCTAAACCTCCAACCAAAATGATATTTTCCCAAAATAGGGGGATCCCGATATAGACTCTGATATATTACAATCCTTATTACGGGGCCCCCCGAACAGGTACCCCTAACTTTCGGAAAGTCCCAATTCCTAATCCCTAACCCCTAAACCCAAACAGCCCCATAGACCCCTATGTACCCCTACATAACCCCTACAAATCCCCCCCTAAACCCTAAACCCTAAACGTTAAACCTAGGAAGTGGCACCTGGGTCAGAATGAGCTGGCGGCGATGCCGACAGGCCGAGGCTTCGCGAGCTTCTTCGGCTACCTGAGCCTGAGTAGGGTTTAGGGTTTGGCGTTTAGGGTTTAGGTTTAGAGTGTTTAGGATTTAGGAATAGGGTTTAGGGTTTAGAGTGTTCTAGATTTAGGATTTAGGGTATGGAGTGTTTAGGATGTTTTCTGTTTAGGGTTTGTGGGGATAAGGGTTTCGAGTTCGGTTGAATAGCATTGTAGAATTTTTGAATGATTTAAGTCTACCTGAACGCAGCATAGATCAAAGATCCTATCTTTTGATCCTTAATTAACAAAATCCAAGGAGTGGTGAGGAGGATTACATCACACATCAGGCAGCAGGAGAGCACCCATGCGCTGAATGTATATATGTTGTTCAGGCAAATTGGTACATGTCTGTATATATATATATATGCAGCAGATACAGGTGCACGTGCATATGCACATGCCTTTGCACATTTATGTGTATGTGAAAATGTATACATGCATATAAACCTTCTGGGTGCCGGTCACAACCAATCTTACCTCCAAGAGGGCCAGGTGGAGTTTTGTACTGACTCAGCGTCTGTTTTGCAGAGATGTGAAGCAGACAAAATGCTGCACATGTAGTGGAGTTCGTGTGTTTCTGACGAAGCTATCCCGCCGACCTCTCATAACCATCCCTCCTAAACCGGGCAACGCTTCACGCGGCAGCAAAAGGCGCACAGGACAAAGACAAACCCATCCATACCATTCCCATCCCAAAATGGGACCGAGTACAGATAAAGTTTGCTTGTGGCTCACCTTCACCTCCAGTTTTTTTTCATATTCGAGGTTGTGCTGTAAATCGGGTTGTGTTTTTTGGACCCTATGAGTTTCCAGGTCCCAAGAAGGTAGGATCCTCACTGTCGAGGCGGGCCCAATGTTGAACAACATGATTTGGGGGCATCCCAAAATTAGGCGTACCATCCTGGGGCTCCCTAAGGATTATAGTATTTTTTGGGTCTATATTGGGGTCCCTATTTAGTGAAACTACCATTTTCAGGAGCCTTCGACCTGTTTGACGGCACTCGCACAGCCTTTGAGTTCAACGGCACGCACTCCACGGGGCTCTGGGTGTCCAAGGTACTAAATCTGCTGAGTAAACCGTCCGAGAAGCCCTTCTTCATCTACCTGGCCTTCCAAAATGTCCACTGGCCCCTGGAGCCCCGGAATCGTAAGTGGATGATTTTTTGTTAGCGCTAGTTCCCTGAATGACAACGGACATGTATGTAAGCATTCATTACCATGTATCCTTTGTAGATCTGTGTGTATGTCTGCATGTGTGCACCTTTGTACTTATGCACATGGATGTAGGTATCTGTACAGGTCAATGTGAGTAATTGTAAGAATCGCCTTAAGCCTTAGACCCTAAACCCTAACCCTGAAGCTTAAGCGCTAAACTCTAAACCCTAAATAACACCTTAAACCCTAAAGCCTAAACCCAAAACCCTAAATAATCGTTTCCATTTTCTTTTCCATTATCCCTATTTAACCTTAACTATCCTATAATCCCTATAGAAACCCTATAGAATCCCTATAATCCCTGTAGTTTCCATTTTCTTTTCCATTATCCCTATACAGCTAAACCCTTGAGATCTGAGGAGCCTACAGAGGAGGCGCTGAGGCGCTTCGAGGGAAAGACCGGCGGCGACGCGCAACGCCAGGGTGTCTGCGCCGGGCTTGCTATGGGTTTTGGGCTTAGGGTTTAGGGTTTAGGGCTTAGGATTTAGGGTTTAGGGTTTAGGGTTTTGGGCTTAGGGTTTAGGGTTTAGGAATAACGGGTTCTCTTAAAGGGATATAGGGACCCGAGAGGGGGGGTTGTATGGGGCTTGAGGGCTTCGATTTGGGAGTAAGGCTTAATGCGGCCTCCTCAGGGTTACGGTAGGATTTTAAAGTCGGGGATGTACTCGTAGGATCTGAATCAAAGGCATGTATACCTGTCCATAGGATGTTATATGGTAGTTTCCCAAAACAAGGGGACCCCAATATAGACCCCAAAATATCATAATCCTTATTATTGGGACCCCCAAAAAGGTACCCCTAATTTTGGGAAACCCCCAATGTAGGGGTTCATAGGACTTTAGGGTCATCGTTTTGGTATGTTTGCGTTATTTTGCACTGTAGACTCATGGCACCGAAGTTGAAAAGGCTACGACGTGATTGCATGACAAAAGCCTTATTCTTCCTCCTCCTCCCCCGCATTTTGCCTCTCTATCAGAAAGCACACCGTACAAGAGTGGGTTAATCCAACGCTTCAGACAATGATTCTGGGGAGTTTCGATTGCAGTCGGATCCACTAGGAACGACAGGGGTTTTGATAGGGCTAGGCAGGGTTTACGTAGGATCTTTTTAGGGTTTCAATACAGACCCTCAGCCTCATACTTTACACCTACACTCCCAAACCCCTGACCCCAAATTCTAAACCCTAAACCCCGAACACTCAACTGCCAGCCCCGAACCCCAAACCCTCAACCCCGATTCCCGAACCCGAAGCCTCAAACTCTTCCCTGTCTTTCTAACGCTTAAATGAGAGGGGGGAGTGGAGCCCTATAATAATCCCGACATCCCCATACATACACCTATAATGGTAGCTACATTCACCCCACCACCCTAAACCCTCAACCCTACAGCCTAAAGCCTAAACCATGAACCCTAAAGCCTAAAACCTAAAGCCTAAACCCCGTAAAGCCAGCCCCAGGATCCCTTAAGCACCAGCAGGCCAGTAGGTTTTGGGTTGTGGCAGCTTCTCAGGCGGGCTAGCCTCGATGCTGGACGACGCCGTTGGCCAGGCCGGGGATTGGGGGGGGGGGCAGAATCTGGTTTACGGTTTAGAGTTGAGGGTTGAGGGAAATAAATCATCATGGTTTAGGGTCTGGGGTTTGGGTGAGAGCCCCAGCAAGCAGAACAGGAGTGTCATCAAGGCTTTTGTTCCGAATTTCATGCGTTTCTCATGACCCCTAGCACATTCCGGGCTAAACAGAAACCAAATTCCCTCAAAACCCAAGGCCCAACCAGTGCGTGAGCAGGCTAAGCGGATTGTCTCTCCCAGCCGTTTAGCATACTGTCTCTCCCAGCCGTTTAGCATACCATACCATAATATACAGCAGTCTATCATAACAGCCCATAACATACCACAGTGTTTCATGTGCCACGAATGGTCTGCAGGCAGCAAGCTGAACCAAGCGGGCAATGCTCCCTAAATCAGAAAGCCCTTTTTAGAATTCGACAAAGGCTATGCGCAAAAAGAGCTTCCGACCCCTTTCTCAGAGCACGTCCCAGGTCATTCGCAAGCTGAAGGACCAGAGACTGTATGATGATACTCTGACGCCAGGCTGCTCTGGAAGAGGTTTAGGGTTTAGGGTTGTCGGGTTTAGGGTTTTAGGGTTTTAGGGTTTAGGGTTTCGAGTTTAGGGTTTAGGGTCGGCAAGCTCAAGCCCCAGCGCACTACCCGAGCGGCCAAGCTTTTAACCGCTGACTGCGCGGCATTAACAAAGCGCACATGCCATCCTCGCCAAAATAAACGTGGAATCTTATGTAGGTATTTGTTTTTGGGGACAGTCGCCTTTGTAGGGCGCACTGTGAGCTTTCATCTGAGCTTTGGCGAGCTTGTTCAAGATCACACCTCCTTTTCTAGGCAGCAACCCACAAGAGACCGCACACAGGAGGAGGACTTTGCAAGCTGAAGACCTCGTCAGGTATGTATTTGGAGGCCTAAGGTGATGAAAAAAAAGGTAGGATTGCGCTTTCAACCCACAATCCCAAGCCCATAAGCCGAGGATCGTCTTCGCCTCGGACAACGGAGGCCCTACGAACGGCTTCCAGGGTACCTGGTCCAGCAACTACCCTATGCGCGGTGGCAAGAGCCTTGGGACGCAGAGGCGCCCGAAAGCTTTGAAAGAGGCTTCTGAGATCCTGGAAATTAAAGGTGTTTTTGTTTCAGGGTTGAGTTTCGGGTTCAGTCTAACAGGTAGAAGGGCTTTCGCCAGATCGACACAAAGAGCGTTTGCGAGCGCACCATCTGCAGTATCTCGGTGGGTTCCACGTACCTAGAGTTCCACATGGGAATTGGTGAATTCAGTTGTATTTCATATACCTGCACATGCGCGCCTGCATCCTGTGGATGTTATCCCAGTTTCCCTTTCATGTTGCATATGATTCTCCAGTATTGGGCAAATATCTCTACCCCCCAAAAGGGACCCACCCTAAACCCCTAAACCCCAAACCCAAAACCCTGAACCCTAAGTAATATTATATAGTAGTTTCCATTTTCTTGTTCATTTCCATGCTTACCCTAAACCCCAAAAATGATCCCATAGGAAACCACAAGACGAGATCTGCACCCCCCCTTCTCCTTGCAGCCCAGCAGCTCTAAACTCCAAGCTTCATGGTGGCTTCAAGCCTTGCCACCCTAAATGGGAGTGTCTCAAAATTATGGGCCCTAGGGACCCCAAGGGGTCTATAGGGATTATAAGGGGATTATATAGGGCCCCCTTAAGGGATTATATAGGGGTTATATTGAGAGATACCCAAATCTGGAACCCTGAACGTACAGGGTTTAGGGTGTAGGGATGAGGGTTTAGGAGTTCGTTTAGGGGTTTAGGGTCTAGGGTTTAGCGCCGTTCGATTGAAAGCTAGTCCGCTTTCGACTTGGCAATAAGGTACGCGTCAAAGAATTTGAGCCTCAACCTTTTAATCCTGATTCCGGAATCTTTATCTTTCTCACCAATTGCACCGCTTCTGAATGCCCTGTATACCGCATGCCCTGCCGCGCAACTTGAGGAACATGTTAGACCCTAAACCCTAAACCCATCAGCCCTGGATTCCAAACCCTCAACCCCACTACTAAAATCAAAGCCTTGAATCCTAAATCCTGAATCTTGACCCTAAAGTCTCAGTTCTACACCTTCGACTCGAAACGCTCAACCTGACTCAGGAATACGCTCTGGGAGGGAGGCACCCGAGTGGCTGCAGCCATCAGGGGCCCTGGAATTCCCCAGGAGCTCGTCGGCTCCGTCTCCTACCACAAGGTCGGCTAATATTGGGATAATGGAAAAGAAAAATCGAAGCTATTACATTATAAGGGTCATGCAGGGATTACATGGGGATGATGGGAAAGAAAACGGAAACTACTATAGGGTTTAGGGTTTGAGGTACAAGGCAGCACTGATAGTTCCTACTTATTGCCTAGGGGGGAAGGGGGGACGAAAAAGAAAAAGGCCTCTATCACGTAGGGTTTGTGGCGTTGGGGTTGGGAAATAGGGCTTGGGAGTTAGTTGGGAACAGACAATGATTTGGACACTGCTACATGATGTAGTTTTAGGGCTGTAGACTTTCAGGCTGCGTGGGGCGTGGGGTATTGTAGTAGTATGTTATAGCATTATAGTATATTAATCTCTTATGTCATTACAGCATATTTGTATATCATATTATTATAGTACATTGTTATGTTATTTTATTGTAGTATATTATCATATTCTATTATTCTAGTATGTTATTAGGGACTATCGGATTGACACATGGGATTTCATTCCCCACCAAGCATGAGGAGGAAGCTGTGTAACTAGCACAGTGGAGAGTCCATTGACTTAATCCTAAACCCTAAGTCCGGGGCCAACACGAGGCCAAGGAATTCCAAACCAATATCAGCGCAAGTAATCATTAATGTTAAGGAATTTAGACAATCCTACCGTTATAAGGAAACCTTAATAGTTGTCATCTATCCACAACATGGTAACTTGATTTTAAATTCCCTACCGGCATGCCGGATTTCGCGGAGCCTGGCAAGGTCCATGCTGCAGACTGGCTCCCCACACTGGTGCGGGTGGCGGCCAATGACCCCAAGTGGCTGGAGAGGACCAGAGCATGGCATCAAGCGTGGGTAAAACTGAGAAAAGGGAGCCATTAGAAGTACTGAATTTGTGCTTGCACTTTCAACAGCACCCACCCTGGAGTTCTAAACTCTGAAACGAAACCTCAGTTCCTAAACCCTGAGAAGGCACTCAACAATTGGTAGATTGTCTTCCGTGCATTCACGGATACAATCCCCCGAACACATCATGTAATGCAACAGGCTTACTTGTGCTCACACAATCCCATCCAAACGCGTCCTTGACGATACACAAGCGTTTCCTTAAGAATATAGAGGCTAGGTGCACATACATTTGTATATTTGCCGCATGGGCTCACGGAAGTCCGTAGCATCTTTCGATGAGATGATGAGCCGGTTCCTTTCCTTCCGTTTGCAGGAACTGGCCTCAGGGAGAGCCGGTCTTCGAGCTCGGTGATGGCATGGATGTTTGGGACACCTTCAGCAAAGGCCTTCATGTCTCAACTACAGAGAAGCCTGTCTTTGTTTTAGAGTCCCGAAGCCTTCCTCACATAACTTCAGTCACATATGCAGCAAACCTTGTTGAGATTTTAGGGCTTGCGCATCAGGCTCGCTCCCTTCCCAGGCGTCGCTGTGCGCGAGGAGGTTCTGCTTGAGGCTCACCAGCAGGATGAGACAAGGATAGCGCACGGCAATTCCCTGATCGTGGGCGACTGGAAGATTCTCAAGTGGCGTGGCCCGCTATTAGGTGTTTCTCAAGCTGGCGAGACAGTTCTCAAATCAAATCCGCTTGCTTTGCATTGCCGTCCTTGTTCTCATGAGTCTCATGCATCACCGCACAGACAGATCTTCTAAACGCAGCTCAGCAAACCACAGGGCGATTCTATCCCTAAGTAGGGGCATATTCATTAATGAAGGCCTCGTGAAAACAACGAAGCGGCTCAGGCTTTCGCCTTCCCAGCAGGAGGAGTTTGGCTGGGTGCCGCCTCCTGGCCAGAACCCTCGGGAAGTGGAGTACCAGCTGCCCTGCAGGCCACCAAGTTAAATGGAGTGACAAAGGTTGATTTTCTGGGGTTTAGGGTTTAGGGAGCTTCTAGACTATACAGCTCTATTGGGGTTTATGCAGGATGTATGTAGGGCAGGTAGGGTCTAAGATATTACGGAGATGGGTACAGAGAGGATTTGGGGGTACATATGCTTGAGGCGTAGCCTTCCGTCGCTGCAACAGCTTGTGGGAGAGCATGTCTGAAATCATGCTATCGCCCTTTTCGCCACCATGGCAGTTCACTGTAGGTGATTAAGCCATGGAACCCAAGGGGCGTTCAAATATCCAAATATGAAACTGTGTGCTGCGACATATTCTATACAGCTCTATGTCTATATCCAAGACCAATTAATTGCGGCTTGTATCGGGGTATTCGCTCATGTTGTGAGGACTTACAGTGTCATCCGTGCTTCACATTTTATCCATGACTCGTAACAGGAGCCTAAGAAGCAGTCAGAGGTGTTATCCCCAAAGCTATACAAGCCTCAAGTGGGACTTCTATCAGTGTATCAGTCTTGTCTATACGCCTGGGGTTCACTCTGCGTTCCTTGTCTAGACCCAGAGCTACGAAGCTCTCAACACCAAAGCGTAAAGCCCAAACCCCAAACACCAAACGCTGAAGCCCAAATCCAATCCAAACACCTGAAGGATAAACCCTAAGCCCTGAACCTCTGAGCCCTAAACTCCCCATAACCCGATCCCTGAGCCCTAAACTACACCAAACCCGAAACCCAAAAATATTTCGGACTTTCCCAAAAAAGGGGAGACCTCAATATAGACCCCCAACAAAAACTACAATCTTGATTATGGGACCCCAAAAAAGATCCCCGTCATCCTATCTGATCCCACTTTAAACTATAAACCCTATATTACCCTATATAACCAACCCAATTTCTCCAGTAGTTTCCGTTTTCTTTTCCAGTATCCCAACATAACCCCATACCCCTATATAACCAAGCTGCTACAGCTTTCCAGGCTGGCGGATCAGCCCCGCTCGGTGGACTACACCGAGTGCAGCGAGGATCAGCGTCCAAACAGCTGGTGACTCTTTGCCGTCTGGGCTTTAATGTAGGCTTTAGGGCTTAGGGTTAAGGATTTAGGGTTTACTGCTTAAGGGTTTAGGGTTTGCTGTAGGTTTTGGGCTTTAGGGTTTAGGCTTTAGGGAGTTGGATTTGGGGTTTAGGGATTAGAGTGATTCGAGACAAGGGCCAAGGGTTGAGGACGTGTGGGGTTGCTCAAAAGGTGGCTCCTAAAACTGTAGGGATGTCGTTGTTATGAGGGCTGATTCAGGGACTACTGTCAAAGGCTTTTCTCATTAAGAACTCTCCCAATATTCACGAAGTCCTTCAAGTAGCCTAACAAAGGGGGACGAAATTAATGCTAGTGACTGCAAGGGAAGCCTTCAAACCCTAAACCCCAAACCCTAAACCCTAAACCCTAAACCCTAAACGAGCAGCGCCCGGAAGGTTCATTAAGGATTTCCGCCAAAAGATCCCCCAAGTACCCGTCTTGTGAGCACCATGGAGTGTGGCTCAAATTAGGGAGACCACTTCACCCTAAACCCGGAACCCTCACAACCCTGAATCCTTGGAAGGAGTTCTGCCTCTTCAACGTCGCGTCGGACCCCTGCGAGTGCCTAGGGGGCTGGCTAGAAGCCATCCTGAGTGCTCATGATATCGTCCCCCCTAAGTGGCTATAGGTTCGGCCCCTAAAGTAGATAGAATATGGGGTATGTGGGGATCATGTTTGCAGTTTAGGGCATTCCATATCCTCCATATTTTTTAGGGGGACTCTATCCGTTTATTTCATTCTGTTGCCAGAGTATACTATACCTCTTAACATGTAAGATGCCATACCTGTACTGATAGCGTGCCAGGTAGGGGGTCAGCCATGTACTTCCTTCATGGTAGAACGGGTCTAGGGCCGGCCCTCTTCAAAGATACATAAATGTACAGGTGTAGAGACATCTTAGGATGTTGTCGAATACATGTATATTTGTGGAGATTTGTATGCTTCTCGTATTGTAATAGGACAAGGGCCACCCTGATGTGAGCCAGAGAATGCCCAAACATGCTCCCCTCAACTCCTCCCTAAATGGGCTTGTCGGAGCTCTTCGGAACCTATTGGGGTTATGTTGGGATAATGAAAAAGAAAATGGAAACGACTATAATGGGTTACATAGGGTTTAGGATTTAGATGAGAACACTTAGTCCTCAACCCTAACCCTTCAGGTACCGCAACGTGGCAAAGGAGCACCCCAAGATCGTCGCAAGGTTGGCAGAGCGCTTGGCAGAGTACCAGAAGACTGCAGCGCCTCCGACGAAGAGACAGTATCTGTAGGTAACGGCATACCAGCGTGTGTAGGATAGTCATATGTCTGCATCACATATGTGTATGTGTACAGTACACTGATTCGTGAGGTTTCGAAGGGTGCTTCGCAAGCCGCGAAACAGGTTTGCGTAGGGGTGTGTTTGCTGAGCCAGGCTGGCACGAAAGGTAGGTGTGCATGAATTTTCTTTCCCTTTTTAAGGGGCATCTCGTCGTTGAGGTGCCCGCCGTGAACTCGAAGGACTGCGGATGCGCACCAGTGATGGTCAAGGGCGCCTGGCGTCCTTGCGACCTTCCAGATCCCGGCGCTGCCTGGGCCCTCCGCAACCTCGTGGTCTGAGGCAGTTCAATTTTGTGTTTTTGTATGGGCGATGTGTGGTGCACATGGCGCCTGCAGCTGGCCCAAGCGACTTCCGCTCTGCTTGGGAGTGGAAGACGCAGTCCCGCCCGCGCTTCGGCAGCTTAGGCAGGATGCTGTTTTGGCCATTTTGGGTTCCTCACGAGTGCTTCTCGACGGAAGGCGCCAGAGGCTGCCACTGGAACCAAAAGACACGCATGCGCAGCAGCCTGAAGCCGTTTCCCGTGGTCCTCAGCCTGCCCGGGCCCACCTCAAGCTGACATGGAACCTCGCGAGGGCCCCATACAGACTACGCTCCTCTTCAACAGGGGCCGTCAGGCATTAGCTTGGGGAGTCTGCAACAGACTGATCTAAACAAGCAGCCTGCCCTGCAAGTGCGCTCGCCTTCGGGAGATTCAGACACCAAGCTAAGCTCATACTCACTCTGAAGGTTGCGGTTTGTGATAAAATCCTCCATGTGTAGAGCCCTAGACCTACCCCAAGGCACATGACGGAAATCGAGAGCTACGCAAAGTGCATCAGACTTGAAATTGCTAGCTTCCAGACTTCAAACCGAATGGATCTAATGTGCCAGGCCCCCTCCTGAGGACATCGTGGACCGCCTGGTTCACCGCAGCGATGACCAGGAGCCTGTCGCACAGGTAGAAGTAAGTACAGGTTGCTTTTGTGGGGTGGTTTTCATGATCCCGATCCCATTGTTTGGGGGGGTCTCCGTTTTTCTGGACCTGGTCATCAGTGGTAAACATGAGAATTGTGGCAACTGTAGCGCTGGGCAGTGGGGAATAGTTTAATAGTTGCAAGAACCATGATGAACATGCTTTCCGCGGATTCCGCGCAGAGCGGACATGATAGGTTGATAGCAGAAATGCTGACAGCATTATTGTTATTGTTAGTATCAAAATTACCATTATCATTACCATTCTTTATTTCTATTATTCTTATTCTTCGTGTTAGTGTTGAAGCAGAAGTCAGTGGGATCGGTCGGTCAAGTCTGTGCCCCTTACTCGTAGGGTCCCACGAGAAGGAGCAGTGCCCATGACATTCTCGTAGAAGCCTAAGAAACGCAATCGTCTTGTAATCCTGATTTGGCTCCAGTATAGGGTGCCCTAAATCCGTAATCGAGTTCTGTCGGCCGCCACATTTCTATCACCTATTTGGCCAGGACACTGTGGCAACAGCACTTGCAGAAGAACCACAAAGTTGACATGGTAGTCTCATCACACGTATTCCAGCGTCAGAAAGTTCACCCTTTAGAGCATACTGGTGCAACTAGCAGTGACCATATAGGAGCGTGAGTAGGAACATTCCTCGGACAATGCTGCAGTCTATTAGTATTGTTTTTGAAAAAGGATTAGATAGATTCAGGGGCATGGCGGGGCCTGAGCGATCGCATGCACATATGGCAGCTTAAAGAATGACACTGAAACCACTTCAACGCGTGTTTTCGATTTCCAGTAACTGCACGTTGTCACCATCATCCTTAAGGCCTAAACCCTAATGCCTTCTTCCAGCCCAGGGGACACGACAGAAAAGGGCATTCAGTTCATTGCCGGCTGAAAGCATTTGGCTCTCAGATTTGGGTACAGTGCAAGCTTCATGGATCAGCAAAAGCCATGTATGCAGAAGCCTGCCTGACTCTAGAGAACAGATATTGAGGCTGCTTTCATGTTGCATTGTACAGTACGGATGCTGCGGGGAAGCCTGGAATCATATTGATCAGCAAGAGTTGTGGCCAGAGCAAGTCAGCAGCAGGGCTGAAGTACTGCTATGAGGTCGTCAAGCAACGGAATCATCCCCGAAAGGTTGCTTCAATCTTGTAGCAATTCAGTGAGACTTTCTGCAAGCATTTCCGCTGTTCACACGGCTGGTTCCTAGAGGCCTCAACTGTGAACTCATCTAGAGCTTGATGTGGGGCTGGACGGGAAACCAAATGGAGCAGGTAGTAGGTAGGGGCCCAAACTTTGGCAAAGACTCCATGTCAAGGATGCTGTCTGACCCTTGGAGGCTCTTGTGGACCCATGGCGCTGGCACGCCCAGGCACTAGGGAAGGGGTACCTTTGAGTCAGGGGGTTTAGGGCTCAGGGTGTAGGAGTTTAGGGGCTAGAGCTGAGGGTTTAGGGCCTTTGAGTCCTGGAAGCTTGATCCCAGGTCGAGCGCTTGTGGCCGATGCCTCAGAGCCTTATGGCGTGACTGGTTACATGCCGTCTCATGAGAGCTTCCATTCCGGGGCTCTCCAAAAGGGACCCCGAACTGTTGCAAACCCCTTCACCTCTGACGGATTTCCATGCCAAGGCTTGTTTGCGAAGGCCGCGGTCCTCGTGGGCTACTGGAGGCCTTGGGACGCAGGCAAGACGCACATGACCGAAGTGGGGGTTGTGCTAGTGGCAAGCCTCAAGCTTGTCAATGAACAGATCAGAGTCAACCGAGGGATCAATACCCCTAAGTGGTACACCTTACAAGAGCGGCATACGAAGCCGGGGATAGTGTACAAATAATGGCAGCCTCTCATGACTTAAGGAGCCTCTGGGAGGCGTGCACAGAAAAGGTGCGCAGGAGTGGTAAACTAAACGAACTTAAGCTCTGTCTCAATTGCTGGGTTGCTGGGTTGCTGTTGAGGAACTGAAATCAATTTACCCTCCAGTATGGGTTTCTAGGAAACGATAGGGTTTCCTTATGACAGTACTCAAGTTCATTCCACAAGAGCAACCCAGCAATTGTCCATGTAGGAGGAGTGGTAGCGCTCCAGAAGGACAGCCTCACCGAACATTTTCAGAATCCTCAGCCCTAAACCGTATATCTACTTAAGGGGGATTATGCATTTATACAGACACATTTCTTGATTGCTGCCAGGGAGCGCCGGGCTTTGCCACCACGGCAGCGGCGCGACTGCCGGCCCTGAGGTCGCTGCTCCAGGACCGGGTTTGGGGTTCAGGGTTTTAGGGTTTAAGGGCTTTAGGGTTTTAGGGTTTAGGGTGTAGGGTCTGGGGTTGAGGGTTTAGGGTTCAGGGTGTAGGTTGCGAGTTTAGGGTTTAAGGTTTCATCTAGGGTTTCGCGTTTAGGACTGGCGTTTAGGGTGGGGGGGTCAGGTTTCAGACTCAGAGGTTTAGGGTTTAGACTTCGGGGATCAGGGTTTAGGCTTGACAGATGCAGGTGTCTGGCTGCAGAGGTTTTGCCGTTAGAGTTTCGGGCTTCGGTGTGGCTTCTTTATTGTTTTGTGGGTTGGGGGTTTGGGGTGGGGGTTTGGGGCTTTGAGATTTATGGATTGTCATATTCTTTACATTGCATTTCATTTTCAGCTTGTCGAATCAGCCAAAACCCTAACCTCAAACAAACTGTTAACCCTCCGCAAACAAACCCTGGATGCTAGACCCCAAGCATTGGGCTAACCACGCATCTCCAATATGCTGCGGTATGGAGAAGAGGTGCCATCTAAAAAGCATCAAATCCGAGGAAAGGTTTTTTTCCAGGAACAAGCGCGCACACGCATACACCTATGCCCCAAACCTAAGAAGGACGGCCTGCACCCACTAAGAGTGTCCACAGGGCATCGCATGGCGTAATGTGCATTTGAACTCTACTATTATCAACTGGCGGAGAAACCGGGATGATTAAGGGGGATACTAGGAGTTTAGATTATTGTTCATGTGGAATCCGGCATGGATTGCAGGCATGGATTGGAGTAGGATGTAGTTCTGAGCACTTTTTGAACCACAAGACCTGGGAGCCAACTCCGACGCAGAACTCCGCAAAGACATGAGCTATAGTCTAAGCTCCTTAAAAGGGATTATATAGGGGAATATTACAGTGGTAATTAAAGGGGATACTTCAGTTCACAGGAATGCCAGAAGCCGAAGGTAGTTTCTGCCCTTCAGCTTCGAAGCCTGCGTAGAACAACCTACGCCCAAAACCCTAGATCCTGAACCTTGAACCCTAAACCCTGAACCTGGTACCTTAAATCCTAAACCATGAACCCTAAATCCTAAATCCTAAATCCTAAACCCTGAAGCCTAAACCTTAAATCCTAAAGCCTAAACCTTACATCTTAAACCAGAATGAACCCTCCAGGAGAAGCGAATTGTTCGCGTTATCGAGGCCCCTGCTGTGTGTTTTGGGCTCTACTTCCTGCATGTACACTTAAATTAAGTTACCATAATGGGTATATAGGGTTTAGGGTTTAGGGTTACGTGCCATAATGCGTATATACAGTGATTATTAAACTTGGTCTTCCTTTGGGTCCTTGCAGGTGGCTCTCTTTGCTACTTCCAGTTTGCCCTAATATACGGCTAATGGAAAAGAAAAGGGGCACTACTATAGTATATAGGGTTTATATAGGGATAATGGAAAAATAGAGACTACAGTATATTGGGGTTCTATACTATATTAGCTAGATCGCCAAAACACCAGAGGCTTGTGAGGGCTTCTCCCCTCCCTCAACTCGAATCCCAATCCCTGAAGAGAATCTTCGCAAGCATCACTGAGCGAGTTTGTGAAATTGGCTGCCGATTGATCGGAGGTCACACTTGCCATCCTGTTCTGCTTCAAATCTGGATTAGAGTGGTAAAGGAGACCTGGGAGTACAAACCCAACCCTGCCAGAAGCTCGCTGCTGAGTACCAAGGCAGAGCATGCATACGACATGGATGAGTATGGACACTACATCCCCGCAAAACTACATAGAAGAAGGATATTGCCACTACTCTTCTTATTGTTGTTACTTTTACGAAGACTAGGCACCGGTACAAGAATGAAGAAAAACAAAATTGCAGCACCATCATTTTCATGGGGCACCTATATAATCCCTATATAACCCCTACATAATCCCCATATAACCCTTGGTTCCCTCCCAGTTTTGGATCGTTGGGGGGGGGTTGTTGAGAAGATGCTGGCACAGCGATACAAGTGGCTGCATCTGGTGATGATGGTTTAGGGTTTATGGTTTAGGATTTAGGGTTTAGGGTCTTCTGTGAGCAACAGTGGTAATTGCCTTGTCGGGTACTTGGATGGTCAGGGGGACCTAGTAAGTAGGTCGATAATGGGAGTAATAACGGAAAAGAAAATGGAAGCTACTATATATTATTTAGGGTTTAGGGTTTATGGTTTAGAGTCATGGGGACCTAGTAAGTAGGTTAATAATGGGGATGATTGGGGTTATTATGTGGCCTATAGGGCTTATTAACCTACTTACTAAGCCCCCCTGACCCTCCAAGTAGACTTTCATCTTGTTAGAAAGGAAAGGAGCAACAGATCCCAGTAGCAGCCTCTGTAGTTCGATATAATCCTCCCTGTGCCCCAATCCTTGCAGTTGCTGGGGGCCACCAGGGAGACAGCGGCGGGTATCCCTAAACACTGAACTCTAAACCCTAAATCCCTAAACCCTAAGCGCTAAATCCGTATACCCTAAACCTTATGGTGGGGAGTAGATTGGCAGGTCCACAGTGGTTTCTCTGCCCTCGTTGTAGACGCGGCACGGGCCTCCCGAAGTGGCAGAGAGGTTCTGGGCTTAGATTTAGGAATTTGGGTTTAGGGTTTAGGGTTTTGGGGTTTAGGGTTTATGGTTGAAATGAGTGTCATCTTATTTGGGGATACTATGGCAGCTACTATAGAGTAAGATTATGTCATCCTTTTGTGGTATGGTATTTTACATGAGGAATATGATTTTAGTAGGGTAAACCACCAATAAAAACGCCACTCAAATGAGGAGCACTTGGAGCTTGACGGTAATCACAGGCAGTCATAGCTGTTACTTTTAACCCAGTTAAAGCCATGCTTGGCGACTGAAGGGGCTCATAATTGCGTCATAGGTACAGTCACAACTGGGCTATAGTTACCCTCCCAAGCAGTGATAATTAGAGGCACCTATGATCACCCGCAAAGGCAGGCGATTCCGTTTTCTTCAGCATCCTTACAGGTTACAAGGATACCTAAAATCATTTGGCTGGATGGTAAGAAGTCCAGCAAAATCTTGCAGTCTCCATTGGGATGCCTGCTTTCCTTCATTATTCTCACAAGTGAGTTGACAATTGGTTTTGTCGAGTGCAGGATCTTCGGCCGGGCAATACAGTGACATTAATGTGGTGCCTAGTAGCGAATGTACCTCCGGGCACAAATCTTGCAGGCTGATCTTGATTTGCAGCTGGCACAGTGGATGCGCAGGTCACATTTGACTGTCTGTGGTCGTCCTCTTTGACGTCCAGTGCCATCAAAGGCCTGGAGTGTCATGCTGGCATCCGTATGTTCTCACGCATGCGCTGGAAGAGTCTGAGCCTAAGCGCAGACCCGAAACTTCCTAGTCCCTGAACTGCAACTTATCTTATTACGTTATCTGATCTCAATGCTGGGATTGTTTGACTACGTTGGGATTAGCCTAATACCCTCATAATTTTCCAACTCCCCCACCCCCTGATATCAAATGTTCCAATTGTGGTATACTACAAGAGACAGGCAATACTCAATGTTAGGGGGCAACCCTGAACCTGCAAAGGCAAGCCAGACATAGAAACAGTGACAACCTCCGAGCGGCTCCACATCGTGGACGACGTCATCGAGGCACCATTGAGCTCACCCCAAAACCCTACATGAGCTATAGTCTAAACTCCTAGTATCCCCCCTAGTAACCCCTATTATCATTCCCTATGTAACCCCCTTGTAAGGAGTTTAGACTATGGCTCACATTGTTGGTGGAGGCAGCAGTGTTTTACTGTTGCCACTAATTTAAGGATTCCTAACTCCCATCATGTGCAAGATTACGGGTACTCAGGCTCACATGGAGATTTTGGTATCAACAGTAGTTTTCACGAAGGGCTGAAGCTCAGAAGGCAGCAGAAGCACAAGTCCTAGGCATTGGTCATGATTTAGATTCGAGCCAGGTGTCTGATAAACCTATCCTCTACGATGGGGACACAGGTGGTGCGAAAGAGGCACGTAGCAGCTTGACGCTTGCATTCGTAGGGTTTCTGAGAGGGGCTGAGGGTGTATCTCTGAGAGGTTTGGCGTTGACAAGTTGATGGTTGTAAAGTTTCGGCTTGACGGTTCAGGAGCAGAGAGGTCATGGGTTTGAGTGTTTCTGATTCTGCATGTGGTGCTGCCTCAAAATCATTGGTAAGGGGCCCCTCGCACGAGTCCTGATTTTGTTGTGTTAACAGGTTTTGTGTGTGGAGTCATTCGTTTGTAACTTGGGATCCAACCATTGATACTTAGCGGCTAACCCCTTAACCCTAAAGCCCCAAACCCTAAATGCCCAGATCCTATACCCCTAAACCCCTGTTCCCTAAAGCCTGAGCCCCCAAACCTAAATCCTAAACCCTAAACCCAATGTTTGGATAGCTCCAAATCCAAATCAGGTCCAGGCTGTCTCGGGGTTGTTGCCACTGGTTCAGGGTTTAGGAGTTTAGGGGTTTAGGGGTGTGGGGGTATAGGGGTATAGGGGTTTAGGGGTATAGGGGTTTAGGGGTATGGGGGTTTAGGGGTATAGGGGTTTAGGGGTATAGGGGTTTAGGGGTTTAGGGGTTTGGAGGTTTAGTTGGGGTTTAGCGTCTTAAGCGTTTAGCAAATTTTGCATGTAGCCAGGAATGAGGAATCTGCGGCGGCCTTTAGCAATGCCAGCCGGCGAGCACTCCAACATACTGGCTGTCATCAGTGCATAACCAGTTGATATGAAAAGAGTAGAGTACTGGAAAACAACTCCTTAGTCCTGCTCATGGATGTTCCTCAGGATCATGGAGGATGAAGGTGCATCAAATTTAAACGCCAAGACCCTAAACCCTAAACCCTAAACCCTAAATAGTCGTTTCCATTATCCCAATATAACCCCAGCCACTACGGCTGACAGCAGCTTGAAGCATTCGATCTTCGGGCCAAGGCTCCTTTTCCGCTAGAGGCTCTGAATAGGCTCCTTTGTAACAAAAAGGTTACGCGTTCTGTCTGAGCCATAGCTGCCTGAGCCGCTCTGCCGTCAGCTGCCGGGTCCCAATTCCTGGGCCTCCTGTTGGTGATCATGCTCTCTTTGGTGGTAAGTGGTAGGGTTTTCACCTTCCGCGGGGTGAAGAGAGCAACTCTTGTAGTTGCGAAAATAGCGGACGGCGTGTCTACGCCAACTCAGTGTTTTTCTCCAGCCTTCGGTGGACCTGTCGCACATCGGGCATCAAGGAACAGTTTTGTAGCTGCATTCAGCTACGGCGGCTGCTTCTGCGGACGCATATTTCGGCGGATGCTGTCACGTCACCGACCAAATAGATTGCATGACATCAAGCTGTGTGCGGGGCATTGCCCAAGAAGAAAGCGGGCATTGACGGACTACCTCTGCTGAGTGTGACGGCCTTTGTGATTGGTCAACAGTGGTGCCTCTGCACAGGCTTCGTGGGTCCTGGCTGTACAACGAGCGCAAGCTCCGCACCAGCAAGCCCCAGCAAGCAAACTTTGGTTCGTGACACTACGTTTCTGCAGAAGAGGCCATGGCGAGTGCCTTCGTTCCAGACACGTGGCTTTCCAGGTACGGCTCCAGTGCAGCTGGGTACAGTCAAAATGCGGACGCGCTTGCTGTGCCAAGGGTGGCGGGCTTCGGCTACGGCCCTCCCAGTTGTGGTCGTTACTGTCCTGTTACCGGGGTCAGGCAGTGCGAGGAGTGACGGCCTTTGTGACTTGTGAGCAGCGGTGCCTTTGGACAGGCTTCGTGTGTTTGGATTGTAAAATAGAGGACAGTAACACTTCTTGGCAGGGAGTTCGAGGTTGGGAAGATTCCACACTGGTGGGATGTCCGGCCCGGCTCAATGTGCAACTCCGCTTCTGTAGGGTGCCGTTGGTGCGGGTAGAGGTAGTCACTCTACAAGAGGGCGCCTCCTCCCCGCATAAAGGCCAGATGTGTTCTTGGGACACGGAGCGGGTCCCACCGCTTTGTGCTTTCCGACCGCTTGTCGTCATAGTCCTCAAAGAGGCGTTTTGCCAGCGAGCTATTCTCCTGACGCAAGTGCTAGCTAGGCATTGCGGCAATGTACAGACAGCTGTTGTGCCAGGCTCTCGAGTCTCAGCTCTCTCTTCTTTTAGCAATTTGAAGCACGTAGGGAATTCATTTTCTTTCTCTGAGTCTGTAGACAGATCTGTTCTTTCCAGGCGGCGCTGGCTTACGGCACGTCTGCAACTTTCAGGTTATGCGCCCGCCAAGCTCAGAGCACGCTCGAGCTGCGTTCAACAACAACAATATATCCCCAATATACCTGTTCATTACAAAGCTCAACCCCCAAAAACCAGAATCGATGTTCCTCCTTCACTTGAGAGGTCAAAGCTACGCCCCAGCAGTGCACAGTTGTAAGCTTTTTCTACGACCTTATACTGGTTACATGTAACCCGAAGCTGAGGCCTTGTGTTAGGAGCCTATACATCTCTACAGCAATTAGGGGCATACCTTCGGTACTTGTATATGGCAGAAGGCGTACATCACGTGATGTTTTCACATGGAATTCTCTCAACATGTGGCCTCTTACAATCTAATTGTAGTCACCATTATGTATTGCATAGATTCTCCAAAACCCTAAGCCCGGAACCTAATCCCGGAACGCTAAACCCTAAACTTGACCCCAATCCCCAACATAAGTCTTGTAAAAAACCTTTGAATTTCTACATCTGAACGTTTCCCGATCCACCCCGCTTCGGCAGATCTTTGCTTTCACCGTGCGGAAGCTCGAGCGTTTGGGCGTCTCCGGGGTGGTCATCGAGGACAAGTGCGCTTCCCAGTGATCTTGGCGTGAGGATTGCTCAAAACAGGGGTTTGGGTTTAGGGGTTTAGGGTAAGAAGATCTCATGTAGGGAAAGATGTTTGGAGGGGGTTTAGGGATAAGAGTTTTGGGTTACCCTAGACCGGGTATCCTTGGGAATTTTTTATAGGGATGTATGGGGTGTATGATGCTTGAGCCCGGCCTTTAGGTACATCCGTAGTTAAAGCCAGTTTGGTACCCCATGTATGCAGAGATTCCTGGAATCTGCCAGGTTGCAGGAGGAGAAGCAAAGACACGCTGACAAGCACTAACCTATGTAAAAATGCAGCATGCTCGCCATGGTAAGAGGCGTCGTGACCGTAACTATTGATATAATATCCTTATGATTTCCTTACAATATCTCTGTATAACGCCTGTATCCCTATAATGTCTTTAAGATATTCCCATATAACCCATGCCAGTTAGGGAACAGATGGAGAGGTGTGGGCTGAAGCAGAACTCCCTCTTCGGGACGGACAGAGTCCAGACCCTGGAGGACTTGAGTTTTTTGATGCCAGCCTAGGCTGCTGAATCATCACCTTCCCTTTCGATAACCGCACCCACCCCCTAATAAAGTGGTAATGTTCATTATAAGGGGGGTTGGGGAGGTTTAGTATTGGGGCGAGATGATTTCTTCCGGGTATACCTGCAGGGGTTGTATGTTGGAGCCACTCTTCTTGCCCTCGCTACGCCCTCCTGGTAGTACAATAAGAGTAAGGCTAATCCGGACCCCAAGAAAGGAATCCATGACGTTCACGATAGCTTGCAGCATTCCGCAGTAAGATGTTTTTGAGCTTCTCAGACGTCTTGAAGCCTTCAAACTAGTTTTCTGCCTGTATTTTTGTGACGGAGCACGTGGCTCGGCTGAAGCTACCCTAAACCCCGAAGCCCCAACCCTTAAGCCTAAACCCTCTATTGGAGGGTCGTCCGCCTCACACGTACCATGTGGGTAAAGGGGGCGCTTCAACAAAAGCTGAAATCCGAAAATTGCGCTTTTTGCCCTGGGCTTTGGACAGCATGGGGTTCGTGGGGGGATCCCGGAAATTTATGTAAACCCCAAACCCTAAGCCCTAAAGCCCTAAACCCTAAACTTTCCGTGAGTCCAAGTGAAGTGGCTGGCGACCTGGATTCCAACTCATCGCAATCAGGCTGTATTCAAAAGGCTTGCAGGGATTCGCCTTAAGGATGACACAGGGATGTTTATCAGGGTTTAGGGTTTGGGGTTCAGGGATGATTTGGAGCGATTCCCATGTCGAAGAGCCATCAGTGAGCAACTGCTTGTAGTTCCGAAAGGATGTGGACGTCTTTTGCGAAAAGATCCAAGCCGGCAAGCAGGCTCAGGCAGCTGTAGCCGAATATAGGGATCCAGAGTCTCAGTTCAGGGTTTTAGGAGTCCTACTTTGGCATGATAATTTTGCCTCTTGGCATTCTTTACATGGTCATCTTGGCTTTGTGGGCGCAGCATTATACAGCCATCTTGGAAAATCTTGGCCCTTCTGGCATCTTGCAAGAAGAACTTTTTACATGAAGGGAGGGGGGGTCCTTGCAAGGGATGTTCTTGCCTACTGGAATGCTGGGATTGTTCTCTGTTCTTAAACGGAGGCGTCAGAGAGGCCACCTGCACCGTGGCCACAAACACTCAGTAGTCCGAAGCCCGTGTCAGCTGGCCCATTGCTTCGGTGCAGACGGGGTGCTTGCTGTGAGAACAGCCCAGACAAGCTGCCATTTTGTCGTTCAAGCCTCCAAGGTGTTCGTGGCTATTGTGTGTAAATCTTTGAGCTCAAAAGCGGGAAAAGGACGAATGATCAACTCCTGTCATTGAGCGACCCTGCCTCTTCCAGACATAGTTTCAATTTTAACGCAGTAGGTACACATTGCCAATAATGGCAGCAGTCGTGCCAATCACAGCAGCAGAACCGCACTAGCAGTTGCGATAACAACTATAACCGAGGCATGCGCTACTATCACCTGCGCCACCACCAGCAGCGACAGCAGCAGCGCCAACCAGCAATACTTCCAACTACTGCGGTGATGTCAAGAGTAAGAGCAGCAACAAGAAGTACAACGGCGGTGGCAGCGAAGATAACGACAGCAGCAACAACGACAACACTGACATCATCTGCCTCAGCACCGAAATCTGCAGCTTCATGATCATCATCAACAGCAGCACGACACAGCACGGCGCCAGGTCACCCCTCACTTCATGATCTTTGCCCGCCTGGAGGCCTGCTTTGATTGGCCCGCTTTTGGAAAAAAGGGCTTTCCTCACCAAAGCTGTATGAAGTGCTCACCAATCCACATCGCTGGCTTGTCTTGACAGAGTCCCTTCCTAACTTGTACGTGGTAACCCGACGACAGTGTGGAGGCCTTGATTGCTGGGCTCGGGGAGGAAGAGGCGCGGCGTTTCTGACCAAGGGGTGTTGTATAGGGATTATATAAGGAGGGTTATATAAGGATAATGGAAAAGAAACTGGAAACTACTAGTTTTTGATTACTTTCCGTGCTGTCAACTTGTGCTTGATCTGCTTCCAGCAGCTTTCCAAGCCTTGCAGTTGGCAGTCATTGTTGCTATTCTTCGTTGTGTGCCGAGACTCTCAAGAATCCATAATAAGTACTTTTATCCTCTCATCGAAACAGTTTGCGCCTAGGTTAGTTCTTTCTCGAATTCTTCTAGTTGTGCACACGGCCAATAGCTGTTCTGCACCTTGGCAACTACGATCAAAAGCCATCTCCTGTGCAGTGCCTCCGGCGAGCGCGTGCCTACGTGACGCAGGGAGGCGCCGACGGCGTGATGATCCACTCCAAGGCACTTGGATTTCTCGGGACCAATTGGGAGTTCATAATAGGTATGCTGGGACCTGGTGCCAAGCATTGTCATTTCTTCTGGCAAGCTCGCAAGGGCCCGACTAGGTTGCAAAAGCAGGTTTGCCTGCAAGTGCATAGGACTTGTTTTTGGGCTTCTGTTCTTGGGACCCACTGCTCCCCCGAGACTGCCTCAGACCGTTCAGCTTACTGTCAGCCAAAAGTCCTGTCCGCAACAGGAGAAGGAGGGGGCCGACATCTTCTCCTTCATGAAGCGCTGGAGGAAGGAGGCTACGTTCTAGTTACTAGTTAGCCGCAGGATTGGGGGGAGATGCCTTAAAAACGGTTGCCCTAGAGACCCAGGGATCCTTCAGGATCACATCGGGATCATAATCAGATTTGGAGGGTCCTCTTTAAGGATTGTTTTGGGCTAATTTTGGGAAACTCCAGCTGTTGCTGCTGCTGCTGCCAGCCGCGCTGCTAGTGTTACTACTGCTCATAAGGCCGTTTCTGCTGTTGTTGCTTCTTTTATTCTGGCAACTGCATAAAGGGCTACCAGCACGAATGGTAGCTGTTCATATTGATGCCATGAGACGCTGACAGTTTCCCGACGTCCCGGTCATTGCCGTGCCTACGACCTACAACCATGTCACCGAGGAGGAGCTGCAGGCACAGCCGCATCCTTATGGGATAATGGAAATAAAATGGAAGCTAGTATATTAGGCAGGGTTAAATAGGTATTATATACCCCAATACTGGAGAGAATCATATGGAATGCAACATGGAAAGTACAATGGAAAGGGGGATAGTACATTTCATAGATTGTAAATTTATAATTGGTGTAGTAGGACCATTGAGAAACCACCCGCATTATTTTGGTAGCAATGAAAGTGAGACCCTCAATTTTCATTTGAGAATCAACGGAAAATGGGTTTACGGTTTTGTGTTCCTTACATCAAGCTAACATTAGAGAGAGAGAGAGAGATGTAGCGAGCGGTTCAACGTCTGGTCATCCCCGGAGCTCAGAGAACGCCCCGGCAGGGCTTTCGGGCCTTGCATGGCCTATAGAAGAAGAAGAGAGATGTAGCAAATGGTAGAATTTCCGTGTGATGACTCAAGTTCCTAGACCCTCAGCCCTAAACCCTCAACCCGGTTGGAGCTAGCAAAGCCAGGAAGCCGGTGTCAATATCTGCATCTATGCAAACCAGCTGCAGGGGCCTCAAGGTTTATAGCCCCCCTTAAGTAGATAGAATATGGTTTTGGGCATATTATAATTAGACCCCCATATACCCCATATTCTATCTACTTAAGGGGGACTGTAGGTTGTAGTCTTTCAGTGGAGGGTTTAGGGTTCCTCCCGATACATGGGACATGGAGCTGCAAAGCCACCACACAATTTAGGGTTTAGGGTTTAGGGTAAGAATTACATAGGCCCATCGCAAGCTAACTTGGGATCTCTTTCATGTTGCCAATACTCCTCCTGACTTGTGTTTGTGTTGAATTTAAGCTGAACAGTGTGATTAAACCTTATCAAAGGGAAAAGAGTCCCTATATAATCCCTATGAGGTATATTCCCTTATTCCCTACGAACCCCTCGTAGGATAGTGAGGATTCCCAGCAGCCCAGTATTCTTTGGCGAGGCATGGCATGGTGTGGGGTATGAGGGGTTTTGTCTTGCAATGCCCTAAACCCTAAACCCTAAACCTTAAACCCACAGCCCTGACCAACCTACAGCTGGTTTCCATCAAGTCCGTGTGTTTACCCAGCATGACCAGCAATCAGTCGAGCTGTGCAGAAGCCATTGCTCATTGCTGCTCCAACAACTGCCACAGTAGTCTTACTGCAGAAGCATAAGTACAATTGCGCCAAGGCCGCCGTTATCTTGTGATAAAGCCGTAAACTTGCTTGTCCACTTTCCCGGACGACTGCTCCTGCTGATAGTGATGATGCTTTTAGTTTTGCAAGTACGTCTGACACCAATGAAAAGTGAGTGGTTCTTCTTCGACAGCTGGCTCTCGAGGCTAAGAGCGTCGTACAACGCCATGAAGCTCGGCTGCAGCAGGGCGGGATGCATAGGATATGTAATGAAAGATGTACAACAGAGTCTATGCATGATATGGTTCATATGCGGGCAGCCACAAGTCCAACGACTGACTTCGACACGCCTAGGACCGAGCACTTTGATGATGATCGCACTGTCCCCTCTAACAGCAGCAGATCCTAACTACATTCGTCGAACATTTGGGGGAGTCTCCCAACAGCGCAAATTCCATGCGATCACCGTCTAAACTTTTGGGTCTTCCCCGGGAGCATGCGCCCCTTCCGCGCCCATCCGGGTATGCCTTGCTAGGCTGGACACGGCGAGTAAAATCCTGGAGGCGGGCCAGGGCTGAGCGAGGTTTTTGAGTTTGGAATTCACGATCTACAGAGGCTTGTACTGTGAACCACAGGGCAGGAAACCCCCAAATTCTCAAACTCCAAGACTTCTCAGTAGCTCTGTCCAAGCCCACCATAAACGCTGAACATCCGTGAACTCTACGCGATATGGAGATTTCGCAAGATTGGTCTGGCATGTGGGCCCCAAATTTGCGCCTCACATTTGGAGATGATACTTGAGGCATAGTCGCGCATGCCAATAAACCTGAAACCCTGAACCCGAAACGGTAGTTTCCCTAAATAGGGGGACCTCAATATATCATAATCCTTATTATAGGGACCCCCACAAAGGTACCCCTAATTTTGGGAAGTCCCAAATACTATAGTCACTATAGTAGTTTTCATTTTCTTTCAATTATCCCTTAAAAGCCCTTCTATATATATATATGTATATAATGCGGCGGGCGGAAAGTTCGTTGCACTGCCATGTCTTCAACTTGAACCTTGCCAACCCCCTTGCTCCCGCGGACTCCTCCACCAACCAGCTCAAAGCCTCAAGTCTCCGTCTGGAGCAATTTATACAGTATTGTAAATTTATTCCAGCATCATAATTCCTCTGCTAGCCAGGCCAGTAAACATGAGCTTGTGAGTACTCCATGTCCCCCGCAATGTAGAAACACGTACATGTGACAAAACTATAAGCCCGGCGATGCATATATATATATATACATATATATGTATATATACATAGATTTAAATCCCACGCCAAAAGTCAGGCTGGTCGCGCAAAGGAGGTTGACAGCCAGATTTTGCCGCCGCTTGGAGCTCTAAGAGAATATGGGCTATTGTCTAAACTCCCTTAGATGGGGGCTATATAGGGGATTATACAGAGGGTCTAGGGTTTAGGGTCTAAACTCCTTAAAGGGGGCTATATAGAACATTATATAGGGGACAACTGTAGGGGATACTAAGGGGGATACTGGGACTTTAGACTATAGCTCATATGGGGGAAGGGAGGAAAAATGGAAACTAGTATGGGGGTTTAGGGTTTAGGGATGAAGGTTTAGAGTTAAGGGTTCAAGGTTTATTGGGTTTAGGGATTATTATGTAAGAGGGAATGGACAAGAAGATGGAAAGTACTATAAAGATTATGTAGTGAGATATAGGTTTAATGTGGTGATATTGGGGAAAAGCATTTGGAAACTGCTGGATAATTAAGGGCTCTATAGCAGTGACAGCAGTGATACTATGCCGATTTCCGAATCATTTTTGGAGTTTATTTATGAGGTATCTTTCCAATAACCAGCTATCAGCTTGATTCCCATGGAGCTCACATCTTTGGGTACTACTAGTACAACTCATGAGGAAAAGTGGCCAGGATCATGTCTTGTTACGAGGGTCTTTACCGAATCTTCAAAGAATTCCCTGACATTCCCCATGTATGGTCACCGATCTTTTCTGCATCGCTTATGCCCTTAACCCTGAAATCTAAACTTCAGAGAAGCTGGCGCTAGTCAAATGGTTTCTCAGATCTCCTTCTAGACTTTCACGCCAATCGTGCCGCGGGTGATCCAGAGCTTTTGTAGACATGCCACTGCGATTTGTTCTTACTCTATGACCGCATGGGTCCTATACATGTCCTACCTCCATCTTGCATGCCCTTTGCAGCATCAGGTTGCATGCCATAGAGCACGAGTGTTTCGAGGGGCCTCAGAGGGGCCAAGACCAGGCAAGACCAGGAGCACAGGCAAAGGAATCTTGAGCAACAAGGGCCCTTGCGCAACTGCCGCTACTCCTAGGGTTTAGTCGCCTCCCCAGCAAAATGGGCCAACAGCAAATCCACGCTTCCGAGGACAAAGCAGATGATCTCCCTCATCGATGACAATACCTAGATTTCTCAAAACTGAAGCGGGCGTAAGAGGCTGCTTCTCACCGGGGCTTCTCCAAACTTCAACAACCATGTACTCGTTTCTCGCAAGGTAGTTTCCGTAAATCGGTGGACCCCAATATAGACCCCATACAACTATTCTCCTAATTATGGGCGACCCCCAATAAGGTACCCCCCCATTTTGAGAAATTCCCCACATTGCATGGGGGTGAACCTTAAGAAGTTTTAACCTGTGTGACTTGATGCATAGAATTCTGGTGCTGGGCCTGTTAGGAGCCTGTCCTAGAGGTCCGAGCCCGAATTTACCAACTGGTGGTTAGCAGCGAGCGAAGGAATGGAGCTTACACATTCATGATGGATAGTAGTACCGTAGAGATCCATTCCTCCATGCTCTCAGGGACCACCAGAAAGTCTAGGACTGCATGCTGTTTTCCCAGCCCTTGTGAAGCGCGAGCGATCGCGCTCCTTGGGCAATGCGCTCGGCTGAATCCTGACCTTGATGGGAAGATCCTAAACTCTCTCCGATAGCTTCGGTTTAAGCTTCGGCTTAGGGTTTCGCGTTGGGGTTTCAGGTATGGGGTTTAGGTATGGGGTTTAGGGTTTAGCGTTTGGGGTTTAGGGTTTGGTTTTTAGGTCTTAGGGTTTTCCCCTGCAATTGGTCCAACCGAATGTAGGCTTGACGCCTTGACCTAGCCCCGGTCCCCTGTCTTAGCTGGATTAACCCTCTCTGAAACGCTAAACCCGCTAAGCATTGTGTTTGCTGGTTTTGGGGCGGCTTCAGCCGGAAAACTTGCACGCGCTGAAGACGCGATGAAGAGGATTCACGTCAAGGCTTATCAAAAAGCATGGCTACATGGTTTGGGTTTTTGGCTTAGAGTTTAAAGCCGTGCCGCCTTCTCACTCCCTTTGCGCTCACACGACGCAATGACAGACTCAACATCCTTTGCAGGTCCAGACTCCCAACAGGCACCTTCTTCACGAAGTCTGCGTAGGGGAGCCTTCCTTTGGGCTCGGCATACAGTGCCGCAAATAGCTGTTGAGGAGCTTTGCATTGTATCCCTGAAGACTGGATGACAGTACAAAACCACACGACCACTGCAGTACCACTGGCGCTAGCATCAGTAATTGCACCTGCAGTTGCAGGAAGCGTTGGCAGTAGCACTGGCAGTTGCAGCTGCAGTAGCCGTAGGAGTAGGAGTGGGTATTGCAGCAGCAGTAGCAGCCGCGGCGGCGGCGGCAGCAGCTGCCACCAGCTGCAAAGAATCTAGTAAAACCGCGATCATGATGCAGGAGGACAAGATTCGTGAGCGCCTGAAGAACTACCACTCCCAGATCGACGGTATCACGCCCTTCTTCAAGGCAGTGATCGTATGGACAAGCAGTAGCAATGCCAACAGAAGCCAAGTTACTTAAATACCATGAATACAGATTCCCGGTGTCGGGGTGGTGCAAGATTTATGTCGGTCATAGGCTCTAAGAGATGGACAAATAGGAGTGCAAGGAGAAACTCGGACACCCCACGAGCCAAGAGCACATCTAAGCATAAGTCCGGGGTACTGTATCTCTCCAATGACGTAGTTGCAGATTTTGTTGAAGAGGCCCTTTCCCTAAACCCCAGATCCTGAAGCCGCAACTTTCATGACATGGCATTTTCCGGACCCTAGACCCTGAACCCCAGAACCCTAATCCCCTAACCCCCTAAACCCTAAACCCTTTGCGAAAACAAGGTCGAACTCTAAACCCTAAACCCTAAATCCTAACCCCAAACCCCAAACCAGGGCTTCTTGCCATGCCAGCAGATTGCCAGGATGTTCTCTACGAGGTGGATGGAACTGGCAAACCGGACGAGGTCTTCACCATCATTGAGGACGATCTCGACAAGCTCTAGGCAGGGCATGAACCGGGTTTAGGGTTTAGGGTTTAGGGTTTGGGGTTTTCGATGTTAC